TGGCTGAGCGAGGGGCGGGCGCAGCACCGAGGGTTGCGATCCCGTTGCCGGTCCCGGTCTGGTATGGGCGCAACACTGAGGGTTGCGGTCCGTTGCCGGACATGAAAAAAGACAAAAAGGAAAAAAAAAAAAAAAAGAAAAAAGAAAATTAGTGATTTGACACATGAAAGTAACTTGGACCTTAAGAAGTGGTGCAGTTGTTTAGATGATCAAGAGGACTAGGAGAAAGAGTCATAAAGCTTAAACTTAGTTCTTAGGCATTAAGATGTCAGGTGTTACAGGAACAGAGTTTCAGCAAGGAAATAAAATGACTTACCAGTAGAGGTAGTATCTACTTATTTCATTGTGCTCTTAGTACCTGCCTTGTAGAGCTATACTGTTTTAGGGAGCCCTATTAAAACGGGGTTGTATTCCTGACCAATAATATAGTAACAAGTACATTTATTTAACAAATAATATACATGTTATACAGGGATGGTACCTACTGGATGTGTGTGGGTCCGTGGCATAGCTACAAATGGATTGATGTAAGGTTGCTATAAACTGAAGAAGCAAAATAATAAGATTCATAATTACTATATAATGAAATTATGCCAAAGTGGGATAAAATGAACTTAAATGTATAGACTGGTCCCAATAACTAAGGACATCAAAGAGAGAAGTAATGGAGCTGTGATTCAGCTGATCTTGATTGCTCATTTACTACTCTGAACTGTCTCCCTACTCATCTTAAATTTGCCCTATCTAAACATACTAGTTATAAAAAGTATTATTCAACTATTTAGTTAACATCTCACAAGTTTAAATTTTTTTTTTTTTCCTTTTTGTCTTTTTTCGTGACTGGCAGCGGATCGCAACCCTCGGTGTCGTGCCTGTACTGGACTGGGACCGGCAACGGGATCGCAACCCTTGGTGTTGCGCCCGCACCTTGCTCAGCCAGTGAGCGGCCAGTCTGTATGTGGGATCCGAACCCTCAGCAGGAGCGCCACCACGCTCCCAAGCGGCGCACTGTAGCAGTGCGCCACCAGCCGGCCCCACAAGTTTAAAATTTTAAGGGCAGTAGTAATGATTGGTGGTAATGGAAATTATTTGGATGAGAGAGATATAGTATAGTGATTAGTTCAATTTAAATGGAAAAATTTGTAGTAAGTCAGAAATTCTGAGAACCATTACATTAACTTTAGAACTATACTCAAAATTGGGCTTAGTTTTTAAAAAACTAAAAAGACATATTATCTAAATATGCGATGACATCCCTGAAGATTTTAGCAAAGCAGAATTTTCAAAATAGCACAATCTCATTGATCTTATTTTCTTTTTGACTTTTTCTCCTTACCCACCACCACAACTAGGGAAACATAAAAAGGGAAAAGTGTCCTAAAAGGACAAGAGAGAGTGTGTGTTTATGTACACACACGTGTGTGATTGTAGGTGGAAAGGACAGAGAGGCAGACCGTAGAAATTGTTCACTAGGGGTAACTTTGGGTATGTTTTGTGAGTAAAATGGTCAAAACGTGAGAAGTGAAGTATGGGTATTAGAGGTGAGGAGCATAATCTGTAGTGTAGATGTCTGGAATATGATTTGCAGACTGAAGAAAAGAATAAGTTAAAAAAAATTCTGTCTATATAGAATTTACTCATTGATATTATTTTGAATGTATGCAAGAGTTTATTTTTGTCATTCACCTTAAGTTATTTAACTTTAGTGAATAAGGTAGAAGATAGACAATTTCTATTAAAGGGATAATACTGATAGGCTAATTACTTTGATGTAGGAAGGGTAGAAAATGGAAAATAATTATTTAAAAAACATAATAAAAATGTAATAATTAGATATTTAGAATAAATCTTAACAAAATACACTTTAGAAAAATGGATGTGTTAGCTTAGAAATTTTCAGTATTCTTAGTCTTCATCATGAGTAATTTTTTCTTAAAAAATGAGGCTTAAGAGTATGGTCGGGCCTGGTTACGTCCTTTTACATGTATATTGACCAGGCCAGAAACCTTTTAAGACTATGTATTGTATTTGTAGTTGTATTAGAATCTCCAGGAGAGAGTGTGCAGCTTGAAAAAACATATTCAACAAATCTGTTTTTTTTTTTTTTTTTACAAACTATAGAAAGTAAAACTGGGCAGTCGTCTTGGCTCGTGGAGTACATAAAAATTGGATTGAGAAAGCATTGTAAGGGGCATGGGCTAAAAACTGAGAAACTGCTCTGATGCATAATTTTCAAAACTATAACTGCATATTCACATTTATGAAATTACTTTTTTTTTTTTGGTGGCTGGATGGTACAGGGTTGAATCCTGGACCTTGGTGTTATCAGCACCATGCTCTTACCAACTGAGCTAACTGGCCAGCCCACCATTTATGAAATTACTTTCTGCAGGTGTCTTGTACTAGCTAACACTCTTTGCAAAAGTGATCTTCCTTCTAGCTATATTATTGAAGTAAAATTCCCTTGCATTTTGCTTCTTGAATTTTGTATTATTTTCATAATTTTTTCTGCCCGATTTTTATATTCTGTCCTGAAAACTCACAAACCTCCTAGCTTGTTGATGAGAAAAAAATCTTTTTTGGACACGTACATTAAAAATTTCTGTGAATGGTGCTGCTGCTACATCTCTTCTAGAATTCTGACAGGAGCTGAGAAAATTACCTCATATTTGCAGAAGTCCTTGCTACTTCCTCATCCACAGATTCTAGCTACTCTTGAGAGGCTGTGCAGTTTTGCTGTTGGTGAAAGGATATTTTTTCTCTACAAAAGCTGTCTGGAAGCAGGCCAGTGTATGAAAGATATAAATACAGGGAACTGATCAGTAGGAAGGTTTACTAAAACCTGCTGTCTTTGTCCTTTTTACAAAAGAACTCTGAGTGCTCCTCTAATTCTGTATTTTTTCCTTCCACATCTCATAGAGGGCATCCTCATAGTTTATGGTATTGTACAATTTAGTTTTTAGTGCAGTGTGATTTATTATGTTTTTAGTGCTCTTAAGAGTTTTTTTGTTTTTTGGGTTTTTTTGCAGCTGGTGGGTATGGGGATCTGGGATCCGAACCCTTGACCTCGGTGTTGTCAGCACCACATTCTCCCAAGTGATTGTACTAATTTGTAAGAGTGCTTTGTAGATAAAGGAAACTAGTTCTTTGTCATATGTGTT